CATAATGTTTAAAAATACTGGTAACAGATAAAATGCTCACCCTTGCTATGTAATAAAATTATATTAGTTGAAGCTTCATATGATGACGATGTTTACTCTGAAAGCTTTCAGTTTTTTGAGGGGAATTTAACAGAAATTGAGTGTTTATTTATGAATTATTCAGCAGCAAACTTATTGCCATTTCAACACTATCAAGTTGTATTTAAACTTTTGAATTTAATGATGATTAATGAAGATCAGGATATCAAATTTATTTGTAAGTATGTACTTTTACAAAAACATTATTATAATTTTCTTCAGCTACATATAATGTACAAGATTTGCTAGTATCTACTGAAGGGAATGGATCTGTGATTTTACAATGCATATATTTACCAGGATCAATTGCTGATGGATGCCATGTTACTTTTAGACACACTATCACTGGATATAATCAATCCTTTAATATAACTGGATCTGATAATAGTGTACCAATATCTTTACCAACCAGTGGAGTATATAATGTAGTTGCATATGATATAAGTGACAAATCATTACATGGACCTGCTGTGTACTATCCTACACTGGTTGAGGTTGTAATTGGTATTATGCCTGTACTGCCGGCATCATTGTCTTTAGCAGTATTTGCTAGCAGTACCAATGGTAATAAAATATTATAGTCATAAATGATTATGTTTTTCTAATTTATAATTCTTTCATATTGAAATTAGCATGGGGGATGAAGAATGAATCATTGTCATCTTCTGTAATATCAGGTATAATTTAAAGTTTATTCTTAAAGATATTGAATGCTTTGTTTATTTTCACAGTTAATACCAGTGCTACAATGTTATCACCAGAAAGTAGTAGAGTACAATTGCTGCTTATCATCTGTTCAGCAGTGGGAACAGTTATTATAATTGTTATTATAGTGATTGTCCTCAGCACTATTGTTGCTTTATCCATGAGACGAAGAAAAAGAAGTGAAGGTATGAAATGTATAAATTTTAATTTATTTTATTTTGATTTAGTAATTGCAGAATTGATTAATAATAATCCAGCATATGGGCAAGGTTTTTAGCAACTTAAAATTTTAATTATTGAACTTCTGTATAGTGTTACAGGTGGCAAATAATCAGAGGGTGAATGTCAATGTTGATGTTAATCCTGCCTATGAGACAATTGCAAGGCATAACAGACGTACAAACATCACACATTATGAAACTGTCTGGTGATTTAAAAGTTAAAACAAATTATTTTAGCGATCAATCATAAAACATGCAGAAGCCTTAATAATCAGCCAGATTCAGCCTAGCTTACCATTATAGAGCAAAGTAAAATCATTATGTTATTGAAATCATAAACATTAAAGCTGCAGCTAGCTAGCTCATAGATATTAGAGTAAATGAAAGGGATTGGAAACGGGGGGCGTAGGCTGGTTGATGTTGCTATTGGTTACCGGCCCAAAACCTGGTTGATTTCCCATCTCCTCCATTAGTGAGGCTGTACTGCAAGGACTTCGAAGGATATTTATGGAGATCCAAGAGGACGCTTACTTATGATATACCTACCGTTCCATATAGAAAGTGTTGGACTACCTGCAGCAAGGTTTTTACTTCTACAACGCTATTTTGCAACGAGTTATAGGTACAACAAAATTTTTTCACTTTTCGCCCTTTTTCTGTTGTAACAAACTCATGCTTCATGGATTCTAACCCTAACTAGTATCATTCGATATGCAAATGGAAACTCTTTCATATGATTATAAAGATATTGCATTTTACTCTAGCTTGTTTTCAAAAAAGGGATTATAATGACAAAAAATACATTTTATGGTTTTAAAAGTGCCATAACATTAACATGGTAAAATTATCTGTACAATAGAAAACAGAATTATAAAGAGGAAACATTAGGCTTCTTGATGCATTAATTTCACTTGCATAGGAACACTTATTTGCGAGATATTGCTCCTAAAAGAAAGAAAATCAAGGGTAAATTGTAACAAAAAATTTCAACGAGCCTCTGTCAGCCTAGCAGCAATACAAATGAATGGAGGTTGGGCTACGCCCACGCTTCCGTTTCCAATCCCTTTCATTTACTCTAATATCTATGGCTAGCTGTGCAATCCATGCCACACCCATTATCATGTGACATCACTGACATGCATTGACAGCACTCACAGCAGCCGGCCAGGCCAGAGGCATAAAACTATGGAAATGAGCATAGATACTGAGTAGAGTCTATAGCTGGTGACCGTAATGGCACAAGACATCGGTATAATAGATCATCACGTGATTGACTAGGTAGGAGCCGGAGTCGTACGATGTCAAGTGTTTTTGCCAGGCGAGACTAAGCAGGAGTGTGTATATATATAGTACAATCATAACTCAGCAAAGATAGAACATATCCACAGACACAGGCGAATCTCTAACACAGAACTAGGCTGAGTTGGCTCAGCCAGCCAGTAGACACCATCTAAGTTGCCGCTTACCATCTTATTCCATCGTAATGGCATCGTATTCCATGACTAATCCTATGATTATTCGAGTGATTATTCTACTTATCTTCGCCTCTTCTTTTTGCTCCCAAGGTGCTAGTAAGTCTGATTGTATCGTTGTATGTGATTTTTACTTTATTGTATTGAATATTCCACATGCATGTACATGTAGTACAATGCCCAGGCAGATTAAGTGCCCTTTGCTATAAGTGCCCTTTGCTATCTCTTTTTATCCACTCTTGGTTAATAGTGAGGCTATTTAGTTACCACATCGTGTAGACAAGTGGTAAAAGTGTATGGTGACTTGAGAAATTTTCAACAAGAAAATAATATTAAACCACACCTATACTGTTCATGTGTGTGTGTGTGTGTGTGTGTGTGTGTGTGCATGTAGTATCTACCTATGTTCTGCATTATGTTCCTGTTGGGTCGTTAATATGGTACAGTCTGTTAGATACTAATAAAATTATGATTTTTAAAAATTATTTATTTACTAAAAAATTATTTATGATTTTAAATGCATTATGCAAGTACTGCCCTTTTAATGTTACTTGGGTTCATGGTGGAGCTGATGGCCTGGCAGTAACTTTTTATAAGCAATACCTCTGAAACTAGACACTATGTAGTAAACAATATATTAATATATAACTCTTTCTAATCTATTATAGTCATTACAGTGCCTCCTGTATCAGTGACAGTTCCTCCTCTTACAACAGCAACATTTACTTGTGAAGGAACTGGAGATATATTGAATTGGATAGTACATAGTGCTGAACTAACTGAATCCATTAAACAACAAAGACAAATATCAGTCAATACCACTGTTAATAATACTAATTTCTCATCAGTACTGACTGTTAATGCTATACCTATTAATGATGATCTGGGAATTGCTTGTGAAGTTATTACTATAAATCCTTTTGATCGTGTTATATCAAGTCATGCACTAACTATCGGAGGTTTGTTATATGTCAATAATGTCATTAATAATAGTTAATATTCTTAATGTTTATATGTAGGTGTATCATCAGTTGAAGATCTCCATCATAATTTCACTTCAAATAATTCATTACTAATAACATGGTCACCTCCTGTTTATTTCTCTGATGATGTTCCTGTTGGATCTCCTTTTAGTTATCAAGTATTAGTTACTGATAAGGAAGATGGAGAGATATTACTGAATACAAATACACTTGATACAAATATAGAAGTACCTAATGTCACAGAATGTGATACATTTAACATCAGTGTAACAGCTCTGGTCGGTCAATATAATATTTCTTCATTTAACAACCCTATCAATAATTATAGAAGTAAGCAATACACTAAAATAATTTATTATTATTATTATTATTATTTTTAGGTTATTCAATTACTGAATATGACACACAGCCATTGATACCTTCAGTTTCTTTTAAAGTAATCATTTATTTTATTTTTATTAATTTTTACACTTCTGTATGCTTTACAGCTTGGTTGTCCTCCATCAAGATGCCTTGTTTCCCTAATGGATGGAAGCACTGAAGTTACTGATATTATTACTGAAACTGAACATATAATTGAA